TGGGTCTGATATGCTTTCCTAATGGTTTATTGCATTATTCTATAATACATTATAAATATCCATATATCATAGCCTGTGCTTAGCATTACATATTGCTATGTATGGATATATGCATGCATGTCTGTCTGTCTGTAAAAAATAATCATTATTGCAACTGTAGAATGGAGATGTAATTAGAAATTGGTTTGGATAAATTCTTGTCTTCCAAATAAATATAATTGACAAGATCATATGTTAACCTCTATGCTGTACCTGTCATTGTGTCTTTCCTGGAAGTGTGTTCTCCTTTGTAGGTGGCATTTGATCCAGCTGATTCATAATCTGCTTTTCTTTCTTTAAGACTAATCATTTCCCGAGGGGATGCTGGGGCACTTGCTATACAAAATAAACAGTAAATGAAAAACAATGTATTATTAAGATGTTTCCTAGAATAGTATAGCAATTATTATTTAGAACATATGTGTTATTGTTATATAAAAACAAAGAATTTTCATTTATGTGTTTGTTATCTACATTAAAGCAGAATTAAACATGCCCACCCTCACCCCTAAATTGGAGACATGCACAGGGCTGTATTTACCATGAGGCAAACAAGGCATTTGCCTAGGGCTTTCAGGGGGCAGCAAAAAGCACAGCTTCAAGTGCCCAGGCAAATGCCTTGTTTGCCTTGTGTCCTAGGGGGCCCAAACAGCTGGCCACCTTTGGGCCCCCTGAGGAGTAAAACTGCTAATATGCTAGCTGGGTGGTGAGGGAGCACTGTATTAAGCTCTTCTTGCTCCCTTGCGCTCCCGTCTGTGATGACTGGACCAGGACTTTGATGTTACTCCGGCACTGACATCACTAAGCGATGCGCGAGGGAGCAGAGCGAGAAGAGCTTAATTCCCTTGCCACCTCCACTGAGCGCCCGCCCAGCTAGCACAACCAGCAAAGCAAGCACAACCAGGACAGCCAGCAGCCCCGGCAGAGCCAGCAGCCCAGCAAGGAAGCCAGTCAGCCTGCCGAGCAGCAGTCGGGATCCATTGCAGCTCTCCTAAAGATAGGGAGGCTGAGTGGATTTAAATGGAAAATTTTTTTTTATTAATAATTGAACCTGTATGAGAAAATGTGTGTGTCTGTGTCAGTGAGTCTGTGTGTGTCACTGTGTGTGTGTGTAGCTCTCCTCGAGTGCGAGTGTGCGTTTAGCTTTCCGCGAGTGTGTGTGTGTGCGTGTAGATCTCCACAGGTGTGTGTGCATGTAGCTCTCCGCGGGTATGTGTGCGTGTAGCTCTTTGCGGGTGTGTGTGTGTGTAGCTCTCCGCGAGTGCGTGTAGCTCTCCACGAGTGCATGTGTTGCGCTGCTCACGTGTGTGTGTTTGTGGCACTGTCCGCGTGTGCCTGTGTGTGTTGCTGTCCGCGCGTGTGTGTAGCAGTCTGTGTGTGTGTGTGTGTATCTGTCAGAATGTGTCAAATCAGTGAGGATGTGTGTGCCAGTGTGTGTCTTTCAGTGAGTGTATACACAAGGTAAGCCAACAGGAATGTGGCTGGAGATATTAAAAATATAACGTGTGTGTGTATGTGTGTGTTAGTGTCTGGTTGTACATCTGTTTGTGTGTGTTTGTGTGTCAGGGTGTGCATCTGTGTTTGTGTGTGTGTCAGGTTGTTCATCTCAGTGTGTGTGTCAGGGTGTGCATATATGTGTGTGTATCTTTGTCAGTGTGCCTCTGTGTCAGTGTGTGTGCCTGTGTGTGTGTGCACACATCTGTGTATCAGGATATGCATCTGTGTGTGCATCTGTGTGTTTTTGGGTCAGTGTGTGTATCTGTATCATGGTGTGTGCATGTATCAATGTTTGTGTGTGTCAGGGTCTGTGAATATGACGGTGTATAAGTGTGTTAAGGTGTGTGCAATCTAACACAAATATTACATACAAACACACCTCGGCATTCAAACTCCAAAAGGATATACAAACACACCCCTTCACTCAAACACAAATACTTCACACAAATTTACATTTGCATTTAAAAGTGAACATTACATGAAAACACACCCCTGCAATCAAACACAAACATTATATACAAACACACCCCTGTATTTAAACACTACAACTATATACATGCACCCCTTCAAATATCAACACTGTACATTACATAATAGCGCCAGTAAATGCTGCAGCGGTGTACAGATATACAACCTAGAAATTTTGACTTGGGGTGCCTTGGAAAAATATTGAAATATTAAGGGCGCCTTGAACATAAAAAGTTTGAGAACCACTGGTCTACAGCATAAGACAGAGTGAGAACAAAACTTATTGACAAGCTGTGTTATTTAGTAGATATTTTTTTTTAAAAGGCTTTTTATCAGGAAACTTAATAATATAGTTAATGAGGACACCATTAAAAAATATGATCAAGTTGTATTTTCCTCCAGAAATTAATATGTGGAAAGGTTTCTACACAATAGCTTATATAAGTAATCATTAATAACTGATTCATCCAATTTTGATTCGTATTTCTGAACTCAGAGTAAAAATGTGCCTGAATCCAAAACTAACTGAAGCTTGCCACGGCCAAGCATGTTAGTTTTCTTTAGTAATTCTGAATTCCACTTGGCAGCAAAAAAGAGGCAATTTATGGGTAAAAAAGGTGATTAATGGGGCAAAGAGGACAGTCATTAAATATACTTTGCCGGTAATGGATGAATATTTGAAAGTGTTATAATATAAAGGTTACAAAAGCCTGAAGAATTTTTTAGCAGAAAAAAATGCTCTCTCAGAAATATATAAATCAAACCTTGGTCTTGTGGTTAATATGTAGTCTTCATGCACCCATTCTCTTTAATATTTTTATTAGTGATATTGCAGAAGGTCTTGATTGTAAGGTATGTCTTTTTGCTGATGATACGAAGATATGTAACAGGGTTGATGTTCCAGGAGGGAGAAGCCAAATGGCAAATTATTTATATAAACTAGAAAAATGGTTGTTGCAGCTGACATTTAATGTGGATGAGTGCAAGATAATGCATATTGGGCATAAAAACCCAAGGGCAGAGTTTAGAATATTTGATAGAATCCTATCCTCAACTACTGAGGAAAGGGATTTAAGGGGTAATTATTTCAGACGACTTAAAAGGTAGGCAGACAATGTAATAGAGCAGCAGGAAATGGTTGTATAGGGAGAGGTATTAGCAGTAGAAAGAGGGAAGTGCTCATGCCATTGTACAGAACACTGGTGAGACCTCATTTGGAGTATTGTACGCAGTACTGGAGACCGTATCTTCAGAAGGATATTGAGAGAGAGAGAGCGTTCAGAAAAGGGCTACTAAACTGGTTCATGGATTGCAGGATAAAGCTTGCAAGGAAAGGTTAAAGGACCTTAACATGTGTAGCTTGGAGGAAAGACGAGACAGGGTGGGGGATATGATCAAAACATTTAAATACTTAAAGGGAATCAACACAGTAAAGTATGAGACTATATATAAAAGAAGAAAAACTACCACAACAAGAGGGGAAAATGTTTAAAAATAATATCAGGAAGTATTACATTACTGAAAGGGTAGTGGATGCATGGAATAGCCTTCCAGCTGAATTGGTAGAGGTTAACACAGTAAAGGAGTTTAAGCATGCGTGGGATAGGCATGTATCAATGTTTGTGTGTGTCAGGGTCTGTGAATATGACGGTGTATAAGTGTATTAAGGTGTGTGCAATCTAACACAAATATTACATACAAACACACCTCGGCATTCAAACTCCAAAAGGATATACAACACTCACACACACTCACTGACATACATACACTCACTCACTGACAGACTTACACTCACTGACATAGACACACATTCACTGACTGACAGACAGACAGACACAGACACTCACTGACATACGTACACTCATTCACTGACAAACACACACAGGCAGACACTCACTGACCTAACTATAAGATAAGGCTAGGGACTAATGAAAGTATTTAGAAAATTGGGCAGACTAGATGGGCCGAATGGTTCTTATCTGCCGTCACATTCTATGTTTCTATGTTTCCAGAGCTCTCATATGGTATTCTTTTTCCATAATGCACACTTCACCATTATTTGCCCACTCACTCCCTCTCTCTTTCTCTTTTTTTCTGTACAATCATACTCTAGTCTTTATTTATCAATTACATTATACATATAGTTTTCTGGATTATAACAAATTGAATAAGAGGTCACAAGGATAAAACCTTTATCTTTGTCATTTGGCATTTTCATCATTCATTCTGCTCAGCTGCCTCTAAAATACTGTTTTCAGTTGGAATATCTAACTGCATGGTACACAAATAAAAACAGCTATCAGTCATTTAATTGCAAGGGGTTTACAAGGTTAAATCTTTATCTAAGGGAAGTGATAAGCAGGTGCAAGGATTTCTGCCGCCCTAGGCAAAGATCCATTTTGCTGCCCCCTTATGTCACTCACTCACTGACAGACGTACACTCACTCACTGACAGATGTACACTCACTCATTGACAGACACACAACACTTACTGATAGACATACACTCACTCACTGACACACACAGAGACACTCACTGACATACATACACTCACTCATTGACAGACAGACACACACACTCACTGACATACATACACTCACTCACTGACAGACTTACACTCACTGACATAGACACACATTCACTGACTCACAGACAGACAGACACAGACACTCACTGACATACGTACACTCATTCACTGACAAACACACACAGGCAGACACTCACTGACAGAAAACACACACAGACTGACAGTCAAACACACACGGACACTGTCAGTGAGTGTCTGCCTGTGTGTTTAACTGTCAGTGTCCGTGTGTGCTTGACTGTCAGTGTGCATGTGTGTCTGTCAGTGAGTGTCTGCGTCTGTGTGTTTGTCAGTGAGTGAATGCATGTTAGTGAGTATGTGTGTGTGTCCATCAGTGAGTGAGTGTATGTCTGTCTGTCAGAGAGTGTGTGTGTGTCTGTCAGTGAGTGTCTGCCTGTGTGTGTCTGTCAGTGATTGTATGTATGTATGTTAGTGAGTGTCTGCCTGTGTGTTTGACTGTCATACATACACTCACTCACTGACAGACACACACACAGGCAAACACTCACTGACAGACACATGCACACACACTCACTGACAGACATACACTCACTGACAGATACACACAGGCAGACACTTACTGACACACACACAAACACACACACTCACTGCCAGTCAAACACTCACCTCCATGAGGTCCAGTGTGGGGCAGCTCCTCACTTCTCCCGTCCGCTGTTTAGTATGTCGGGGCCAGAATGACGTCATATTCAGGCTCCCGGCATCACAGAGGGCCCGCAAGGGAGAAGTGAGAGGCTGCAACAACAGCCTCCCTTGCCGCCTGGCTTCTCTGCCCGCCTCTCCTCAGGATAGTTCAACAGGATGTCTTGGCAGAGCCAGCACCCCTGACTTGGCTTTCTTATCGATCTTGTGTATTTCTGGCTTCCTTGACCTCGGCTCTACCTTGACCATTCTCTGTCTATCAATGTATTAATCTGGTCATTCTAAGGACCAGTTTATGTTCCGTCTATTTTTCTATTCTATGTAGATGTTACATAGTTTTGCGTGTTGGATCACATTAGTAGTCGTGACACTATCATATCCTCCTGTCTCCTCTTTCCTCCAAGCTATACATATGAAGATCCTTTAACCTTTCCTGGTAAGTTTTATCCTGCAATCAATGAACCAGTTTAGTAGCCCTTCTCTGAACTCTTTCCAAAGTATCAATATCCTTCTGAAGATACGGTCTCCAGTACTGAGTACAATACTCCATGTGAGGTCTCACCAGTGTTCTGTACAATGGCATGAGCACTTCCCTCTTTCTACTGCTAATTCTGCTATCATTTCCTGCTGCTCTATTACATTGCCTGCCTACCTTTAAGTCATCTGAAATAATTACCCCTAAATCTCTTTCCTTGACGTGGCAGGTGGGCATTCCCTCTAATGGCCATTGGAGTAACTAAATAACCTCCATTTGTTTAAATATACACAGGGATTTGGGAAAGAGTGCAGGTAACTTTTTTCTTTGGTTATTACTGTATGTGTTGGGGCTGATGTATACTATGGTCATTGCTGCTGCCCAAACGTAGTGAGTGTTTGAGTGCAGGATTTGTTTTTTTGTATTTGTATTCACTTTTGTATCACACAGCTATGTTAAATGCTGCTGCCCATCCCATGTGTTCCCTATTAAGGGTTAATAAGCATGTAGGGGTGTATATAAAAAATACCCTCTCTGTCTCATTAGAGATATCTTTGCCAGAAGCTCAAGGAAGCAAGGTGGATGGTTAGTGTAGAACCCACCTAACAGGTTTGCCTTGACATGGCAGGTATGCATTTCCCTTTAATGGCCATTGGAGTTACTAAATAACCTCCATTTGTTTAAGTATACATTGGGATTTGGTAAAGAGCACAGGTAACGTTTTTTACTGTATGATGTGTACTAGGGTCATTGCTGCCGCCCAAGAGTAGTGGGAGTGCAGGATTTATCTTTACCAGATACTGTTTTAATAGCACAAGCTGCAGAATTAATGTCTTAAACACAGGCTTGTATCCAACAGGGATCTAACAGGGATGTCATTATTTACACTGACTCATCTGTGGTACACAATTTTGGTATCACTTGGAAACACTGAGAATTCATAGCTGCCAGTGGAAAGGGTATTTTTCATGCACAGTTAATAAATGATCTACTTGATACATTTCACAGTACTGACAGTACTGACAATGATATAAGGGAATTTATTTTGCTAATGCTTTTACCAAGCATGCTGCCTTATATGGTCCCCCCACCCCTGTATTCCCATACCATGCACAAAACACAAGTCTCTGTGACAATGATTCCTACCATGCTCCCACCACCTGAACTCTTTTTACAGACCTATGCACTTCTGGATGACCTTGCATTCTGGTTACACCATGGCCTTACCCATGGGCAAACAGCCCCTGGGCAGACAAGAAAAGAAAGAGTAAAAATCCCTAAGGTGGCAGCACTTTTGTTTTTAATTAATTTGTCCACAAAGGTAAAACGCAGACACAGTAACTCTGTAAGAAATCTAGGCCACATTGTAGAGTTACAATTAAGCAGGTGCGCCACCTGCGCAAGAAATAATCCAAGTGGTGTTACACAAGAAAAACATGAACACCTCCCATCCCTGAAGAGCCCGTGCAGCAGTTGCAGATTTATTTCACACATATGCCCAAAGCTAACGGATCAACAAAATAAGAAGGTAGAGGTCTCCGCTCCTGCGAAGGTAAATACTGCCACTGTGGCCAGAAAACTGTGTAAATAAATTATCCCTCATTTTGGTTACCCCCTAATAATTAACTGTGATAAAGGAACAACTTTCACCTCTGCAATTACACAGAAGGCATGTTACATGTTTACTAGAGATTGAAAATGTCATATTCCCTACCACTCTCATTTATCAGGGCAAATATTAAGAATCAATCGAACCATAAAAAAGAAGTTCAGAAAAGGAACAGGTGGTACCTTTAGTAATTGGCTAGATTACCTTCCTGTAGTGTTAGCTGAAATCAGAATGACTTCCAATAAAAATACTGGTATCTCACCCTTTGATGTTTTAATAGAAAAACCTTTCACTACTCCATGGGCTTAAAGTAAGATTGTTCTCTGATAAAAAAGGATATATCTGTATGAATTCACAACAGCAGGGTGAAAAAAATCAGAGAAGAGGGAACCGAGGAATGAAGACCCTGGCACAGCAACTTAAAGCCCACTTCTCTCAGATGTACTTGGACATTGATTCTGAAATGTGCCAGCAGAGCTGCCCTCATGTTTCTTTTCTCCCTAAGTCCTGGTGCGCCTTTGCACACCCATCTCTACAACAACTTAAGCATATTTTGCTGCCAAGTTGTCACACAATGTCACTTTAGCCAATCGACGAGAAATGGACAAAACATTTGAATTTGAAATGTTTCCTGCTTTACATATTCCATAAATGCATGATATCAAAAAGGAAAACAATTATAATCAATCATTATTAAAGTAATTTCTCCCACTTCCTATTTTTATTTTATTTTTTAAGGTGTTTTTTGCACAGTTATCGGCAGCATCACTCTTTTGTCTGTCCAAATGATCTTCCTGAATATATTTACGTATCAAAATGAAATAATTTCTGCCGAGCTAAAAAAAACAATATTCCTTGAAAGTAGATCAGAAGAACCACATTTTTTATTTACCTTATATCCTCACTGTAAATAACTGCAAAATATGTTTGGACTAATTGTATAATAATAATAAAAATGATAATTGCTAAAAAAAAAAAAAAAACAGCCTTATTTTTGAAGCTGGTAAAAATGAAATAGCATTACCTAAGGGCCAACACATAATGTATCTGCTTTGGATCAATAACACGCAAACAAAAAAATTGTACTCATGACAGGTAATTAAAGATACTCTCATAACACCGGGAAAGAAACAGACAAAGTTAGAGGAAGCCTTATTGCTCTGGATAAAAATGAACTGCCTATAGATAAGCTTAGGAAAAATAAATGAATCTATTAGTTGTTTTCATAAAGAAATAACAAGAACTACTGATTTGCTGGATAGTACCTCAATAAATTAAAGCAACAATTTAAGTATAAAAAATATATATATTTTTTCTTAAGTTTACCATAAACACTCCAAAACACTACAGATGACACTTATATTAATTAGCATAGTCATTCAAAAAACTTACTTATTATAAATAAACAATTAAAAAAACAACAACAATTCATAGGTAGCTTTGCTTAACACTATCATCATAGCATTACCTGACCGGTTATTAGGAGACATACGAACTGGAGATATGGAGGGTGTACGAGAGGAAGAGTACGGTCTTTGCCGGTCTCTTTCAATAGTCGATGAAGAAGCTACAAAATGATACTGTGACCATCCATCCTAAAAGACAACAAAATAATGGAATTATGTGAGTTATTTCTAGAACCTGTTGGCACATGACGTAAATAGGTTATTATAATAAAATAAAACTACATCAGGAAAAATTGATGGTAATTAGAACTCTATCTGGCAACTATGTTTTTGACACATTTTGCTGGAATGAGTATTGATTTTACTTTTTAGTTTATATGTTAAGGTTTTTCATTCTTTTGATATGAAATAAAGACTGGCTTGCAAAAGTAAGATTAAAAAGTTGAAACAGAAAACCTTTTTTGGCTAACAATTTGTAACAAATCTGGCTTCTTGATTTCCTGATGACAACTATGAAGGCTTTTGTTTTAATTCTAAGGGTGTCAAGATGACTTGTCCTTGTTAATACCTAATGTTGTGTTAATGAGATAAACGCCCACTGCATTTATTAAAGTCATTCCATGAATAAAAAAATAAAAAATGTTAAATGTCATATTTTATTCTCAGGGATTTAATCATGCATACATTATGAGAACATAGTTGTCAGGAAAATTGATAAATTGGTCTATAAATCCAATCAACATAAAATTATTTGTACAGTTACTTTTAGAAGCAATGTGACAAATATAGTACCATGTATTCAGCATTTTTAATGCTAAATACAATTATGTGGTGGCATTTAGCTAAAGCAGAATCACATTATGGCACAGTCTTTACCAACAAAACAGTATGCTGAAAAGGGCATTAAAAAAGTAATAACTAATTTGTCACTTGCTTTGCATTTAGTTAATATCACCATGCTATGGTTAAAAACAAATGCTAAATGCATATTTTGTTATATACAAAAGACTTGCGTGAGCGAGTAATTTTTAAGAACGGGTTAATGTCATAAGATCAAACATTTTAAGCCCTATATAAAGTATGTATATATCGGGCTTAACTTTTTAAATCCAATATATATATATATATGTATTTTCTATTTTTAGAGCCAAAACATTGCTTCAATAAAATCTGCTCACAAATTGGACTTGGAGTGCATATGGGTTTGTTTATTGATATACAGAGTTTGGCCAGTGCTGTATCTATCACGAGACAGCACTTGGGCAGCACTTTCCAATGGGGCGGCAAAATGCCTTGTAAGCCTAGTGAGAGACACATTTGTGCACACACAGTTTTAGTAAATATTTCAGCTTTTGTAATAATAAAAAAAA